TGTCACCAGGGGAGGTCCCTCAGCTTGCCAGCAGCCCATCCTGCTGTGATCCCCACCCCTGGGCTTGTTGATAAGCTCTGGCAGCCCTGGCCAGCAGCTGCCCCAGAAGTTCTGTGTGCACAGCCCCACCCAGTAGCCCAGGCTGGCCATGGCACCACCAGCTGCCAGCAGATCCAGCTCCTTCCCAAAGAGGAGCCCTGCCAGGGGAACTAGATGTCATGCCCATGTGCCCCAAGACACTGCTGGAGGATGCATGTCCTTGTTGTCAGTGGGGACTGACTCAGGCCACCGGGAACACCTGCTATAGCCGCATAGTAAGCTCCGCACTAGGGACAGGGCCCTTTCCCCCTGCCCCTGATCTGTCCCCTGTTCCTGCCCACCCTTCTCACCTGGCCCACCCCCGCAAATTAGCATAAAAGCCATTTCAGTTTCCTCCATATGCGTGAGGCTTCCAGGTGTCCCCTTTGTGGCCTGCTGAACCTCGGAGCAGCCACGGACTGATTCATCTTTTCTTCCAGGGTGATGCAGGGCTGACAGGCCGCAAGATTATCGTGGACACTTACGGCGGCTGGGGGGCTCACGGTGGGGGGGCCTTTTCAGGCAAGGACTACACCAAGGTGGACCGGTCGGCAGCCTATGCTGCCCGCTGGGTGGCCAAGTCTCTCATCAAGGCTGGGCTGTGCCGGAGGGTGCTGGTCCAGGTATGGGGCAGGGGGGATGCTGGGGACCTGGGTAAGGGGAGAGAGGATGCTGGAGATCCCTGAAAACAGCTGAGGCATAGGCATGACTGAATAGGGAGCTCACAGCCTCATTTGGAGCTGTTGGAGGAGGCACTGTGCCAGTGGACTGGGTGGTATCCTCTCCCAAGGTGACCTCAGCTGACCCCTAGAGCATGGAGAAAGGAGGGGGGAATCCTGCCCCCTCCCCACCCCACCTCTAGGAAATGGGAACCCAGGAGTCCTGGTTCTGTCCCTTGCTCCTACCTACTAAGAAAGAGCGAACCTAGGTATCCTGGCTCCCTGCTTTAGGGTGCCTTTTCCTCAGCTGGGAAAAGAACCGAGGCCTTCCAGACCGTATCCCTGCAGGGAGATGGGTGTGTGACCTCCCTCAGATGCCAGGGTCCCCTGCCAACACTACTGTGCCCACCCCCCCCGCAGGTCTCATATGCCATTGGTGTCTCCCACCCGCTCTCCATCTCTATCTTCCACTACGGCACGTCCCAGAAGACAGAGCGGGAGCTGCTGGACATTGTCAAGAAGAACTTTGACCTCCGCCCTGGCGTCATCGTCAGGTAATGACGCCCAGGGAAGTGTTAATGAGGCAGGGGAGAATTATAAGGGGGTGAGGGCCAACAACTAGAGCTTCCCTCATGTCCCAATGGGCTGAGTGGGGCCAACGCCTTCGTGCAGAGATTGCCTTTAGACTCACCCAGCGGGGTAGCTCAGGGCCTCGGCTGCCACCATCTGTGTTAACCAGTGTTGGATGCACGATAGAAGATAGAGCAGCTCCATCTGTGCCCGGAAGCCCGGGGCCCCTAGCCGAGGGGAGGGGGGTAAGTATTGGGGGGCTTCACCCAGCGGATGCTTCTAAGACAGCTCTGCCTTCTCTGTGCTCTTGTCCTTTGCTTTGATGCTAGCTCATGGGCAGTGCCTGCTTCTAAGGCCAGGGTACACAGTGACTCCAAGGGGTAGAGACTGAGGAACTACAGCAGGAGCTGGCACGATGGAGTCAACGGGCATCTCCATGGTAGATGCAGGTCAATGCTAGACCAGTGTCATGTGCTGCGCCTAGGCAGAAAAAACCCAGGCAAGCCCTATGCTAGGTTGGACTGTTAGCATCTAGCTGAGAGCTCTGCGAATCAGTTGGCCATAGACACCAACTCAGCAGCTGCCAAAGGCAAACAACATGGCTAGGGATGGTGAAGGGAACTGAACAAGACAGTATTCTGATGCCCCTTTATAAATCCCTGGGACAGTCGCACCTTGAATACTGCACCTAGGTGTGGTCCCCACACCTCCAAAAGGAGATGGAAGAACTAAAGATGGAAAAAAGGGCAACAGGGATATTGAGTGGTATGAAGGGCTTCCCCACTCAGCCTCGCCTCATCTGGTGGATAGCTAGATAGATAGAAGTGTGGGGTGAATGGTTGGATAGGTAGATATGAGTGGGTAGGTGGTGTGGGGTAGGTAGATGGATGAGTCTAACAGGAAAGCGAAAATGTGTGGGGATGGATGGATGGATGGATAGAGCATGGGGTGGATGGACGGACAGCCAGGCCTTCTCAGCATAGAAAAGAGGCTTGAGTAGGGCCAGGATGAGGGTTTCCAAACCCTGAGCTGGCAAAGAGGAAGCCAGGGCAGTTGATTGCTGCCGTCTCCCCCAGACAATGTGTTCACAGTATGACACCCGCAGTCTGAAGCGAGCACAAGGCAGTTGTGCCTGCTGTGGGGAATTTAGGGGTGGGATTTGTCCAGAGCTAGGGCAGAGCTGGGACTTCAGCCAGAAGGACAGGACCCCTAGAGCTGAGTGGCGTTGGGTGCTCTGGAGCATAGGATTGAGGGGCACGGCCTCTGGATCAGAACTTCCCAAACCTTCAGTCCTGGAAGCTACACGGGGGAGATGAACAGGGAAAAATCCCCAGTGCCCCTCCCTTCCAGCTTTGGCTCCCTGATCCTGCGTGACACAGGAGACAGGGCAAGCTGGCCCTGTCTGAAGGTCTGAGCCAGTCTATGGCAATTCTTATGTTCTTATGACTTGTATATTCCAGGGAGCTGGATCTGAAGAAGCCCATATATCAGAGGACGGCAGCCTATGGCCACTTTGGTAGGGACAGCTTTCCCTGGGAAGTTCCCAAAAAGCTTAAGTACTGACATGTTGTTAGGCTTTTCCCCCTCACCCTTGCTAGCGTCGGCTACAGAGAAGCTTGCAGGCTCTGGGGGGGAAGAGCTCCCTAATTCTATCCCTCTTTCTATCCTTTCCCTGCCTACCTCCTCCATGGCTAACTCAGCTGCTGCCTGTGGGCTCGGCTGTAGCCACCACCTGTTGCTATCACTCCGTGGGGGACCACTGGCTGGCTAGGCCCTGTCCTCGTTGCTTCCCCATGGGCTCTGTGCTTAGCCAGGCTCCCTACCCCTCCCCATCCAACACCCACAGCCAGCATTCTCACCCCCAGCAGCTTGCCATGATTAACAAATCCAGTCCTTTTATTTTTAATACGTCCTCCCTGTCTCAAGCAAAGCCCTGGTTTTAATCTTGCCTTCTAGCCTCTTCTATTATATTCCCCACCCCCCATGTCTGATTTAATTTGAATTCTCGGAGGACGTACGTAATAAGACAAAAGTCCCGGGAGCAATCTCAAGCCGCGGTGCACTCTCTCATTCCCCCTCCTTTCTACACAAGCCGAATCTATTCCACACTGCACAAAAAAACTCCCTCCTCTTTCCCAGATGGCTTTTTATTTTCAACTCAAACCAGGTTTCTCAGCCCAGCCAGGTGGTGGGGGTGGCTCTGAAGCACCGGTGTGGCTACAGAGAAGCCGGCTTTGCGTTCAGAACGCCCCCTGGCTTTGGACGGGGACTTGGGGGGAGGTGGGATTTGAACCCTTCATACTTGAAGCGTTTTTTCTAACGGCTTATTTATTGTGTTCTGGGCAGGGGGTGTGAGTACAGAGAAGCCCCTGGCCCAGATGGCAGCTTTTTTAAACCTTATCTATATAGACTTTGGCCCTTTTGGGGTGTCTTGCCATGGTTTTTTTTTCCCCCCAGAATTCCCTGCTAGTGGCCCCAGGTGTTCTACAGAAAAGCCTGGGATGGCTCCTATTCAGGGGGTCTGGCTGATGTTACACTTGAGGGGAGGGTTTAGGGCAGGACCGAGGGGGTTGGTGTGCAGAGCTGGGCAGGCTGATGTCGAATCCGTGGCTGGTGTAGTACAGAGAAGCCAGCTTGTTTACACGCTCAGCCCTCCCCCTGCTGCCATGCCAGCCCCACCCCCGGCGCCAAGTGCCTTGGGCCAGAGGGTTATTACGTATGTCTGCGGGGGGTGCTCCATGAACTTGAAGGTCTCAATAAAGCGCTAGGTTCTACCTTACCTGGCTCCCATGCTTCTATCTTGGGTGGGTGGCTGCAGTTG